ATTATTTTTCTTAATTAATCATATACATAGTGTCTATGACACTCATCATTGAGTTTATATCCTCAACAGCAATAACATTTGGTCGCTAGCCCGTATTCGCCCGCTTCGGGTGCACGAATTCGAGTAATATGCACGAAAGATATTAATCGAATTCGTGCACCCGAAGCAATATTTACATTGGAATACGGGCTGGAAGTCGGTGTCGGGTAAACGAAAGGAATTATAAATAAAATATTTAGCCGAATACGGACGTATTTGACTCCGTTCATTTACACTAGTTGTTTACCCGAATTCCATTAGCACTCGTATTCGGGCTAACGACCAAATGTAATCGCGCCATTATACTGCCCCTGATAACCAATCCACACACAATAATACATCTACTATGTATTATTATTATTAGAGTACATTTGAATAAAATTTATTTTTATTACATTTTATTGTGGACTAGCGGCACGCCCTCGCTTTGCTTCGGTGTAGAGCTGAAGCGTAGACTACAGTTTTTGTTCTCAGGCTTGTATTATACACAGTGAAATTCATCTATGATTCTTCTTATACCTGCATGCAAACTCTTAGCCCGATCGGTTTAAAATTGACAAAGTTTCATACAAACTTTCATTTCCTATTTTATCCCCTTGGGGGTAGAATTGATCAAAATCTTTTCTTAGCGGATGCCTACGTCATAACCTGTACCGGTTTGGGCTGTGCGTTGATAGATCGCTATGTCAGTCAATCACCTTTGAGTTTTATATATATAGATGATGACGGGATAAATTAAAAGAAATTTTGTTTGGTCCACCCGTTTACTAAAACTATAATGGACACTAATTTTGTCTTTAGTCATTTAATGAAAATATGTCACGATCAAGCACGTCATAGTTTGGGAGTGGGGGCTCGTCACGTCACTTCTAAGTAAAAATTGATTCAAGACGTCGTCGTGCCACATTTCAAATCAATATATCTCTGTAATTTTGGATTATGTGAATAAAGAAAAAAAACACGTGTCAAATACTTTTTGATAATTTACCTGATAGATATTAAAGATAGTAGTCACCATCCTTTTTTTCGTTGAGTGGCACTGAAAAGTCACTTAACGATTGTCTCTCCAGTTACTCCACATACAAATACTTTGTTTACTTTGACTTGTTATTGTAACAAATGTTTTTATAAATAAATAGTTATTGAAATCAATAATATATAGGCAATACGTAGGTAATACGAATTGATCTGTTTTCAATGGCGCGTATATCCGTTAATAGCTATTGGAGAGATAGGTAATATCCACGCCTCAATTAATTATTCAACTGAAGTACATAATAATACCTACTAGAATATAATAGTTGAACAGTCGATACTTCAGTCACAGTATAGAGGTCGAAGCAGACATACCAACACGGAAAGGGATTGTGGAGAGAATCCCTTTCCGTTACAGAACACAGGAAGAAGTTAGGAGAGCCTTGTGATCGGGACAGGCGCGCCACAGTTATCTGTGAGCAACTTAACCAAAGCATAACTTGACCAAAACTTGGTTCTGATTTCGTCGTTGCTCTAGGATGTGAGCGCTTGGCGAAACGAGCGCCGCACATTGGTGGCGGCGCTCGGCGGTGGAGCGCTCTCATTGCCAAGTATGGTTCGAGCCATGCTTGGCAATGAGAGAGCATGAAAGGCTGCCGCCTCCTTCTGCGAGGTTGTGATGGGGCAGAAGGAGGCAGCGGAGAGGGAGCGGGAGGAGGACGCTCTGGCCGCTCCCTTCCGGCGTAGACGGGTGGGCTGAAGAAGGCAGGCGGCTTTGACCGCCGGTCTTCGTCGGCCCTAAGGTGGTCTGGGCGCGGCATGCCAGCCGCGCGTTCTTGGTGCCATTCGGCATAGGCCACCCCGTCTGGGGATTACCTAGTACCCTAGAGTAATCCCCCATAGGCGCGTCGCCCTGTCCACTCGTTGGGCCGAGTCAGCCTGAGGACGCTTTGGTGTAGTGGCGCACGTAGGTGCGCCGATCCCAGAGCGCCCTTATAAGGGCCGAGGAGGGTACCGGTGGTTTTTAGTGGGTAGGACCGGCGTTGTTCCGCGCCGGGGAGTCCCACACACGACGCGCTCCTGGCAAGTAAATGCATTTTCCACAGTCAACAAAAAAAAAAGGATGTGAGCGCTGATTGGATCGATTTAGCCAATAAAATAAAGCGAGATCAAACAATCGTAAAAGGAATAATAATTCCTTCAACGAAACCAGTTACGAAACTAAGATTTCGTAGACGGCTAAGGGGATTAGAAAGATACGATACCGCTAGGAGAACTGTAATCAGTTTTATTTTAAATTTTATGTATGTGCGTTTATAAAGTACGTCATTATACTCGTAAAACCATCTTTAGATACGTAATTCAAATATTTCGCCATGAGTGTATATAAAAAAATATACTATTCTCTATTTTGTGACACTAATTTGAAGAATAGTTTTACATCTCTCATAATTTCATTGTTTAATTAATATTTTATAGTTTCGGAAACTTAGCTGTATTTAAATGCATATAATGGGAGTAATTAGAAGCCAAATTTTGGGTAATTAGCTGGTAGCAGTGGCAGTTTACAATTATTAATAGGTACACTAATGGACAAGAAATAAGACAGCAAATAATCTTTAAATATCAAGTTGATGTGTGTTAGTGGGAATTTCTATTTAAGTAATATGCAGCCCGTCAGTGTCGTCGTCCGTGCAGCAGTCTTTCAATCATGCAATCACGAATAATCACTATTATTTTTATTTAAAAAAAAAAGTACTTCTAGTATTATCCGTGTCAAATTTTCCCTAGTATTCCTTAGGCTGCAAGGCAGCGCCATCTCTTTGCATTGTAGGTAACCCACTGATAGCGGAGGATACGGGTTCGAGTCCCGTCGGCTGCCTGGACCGCGTGTAATACTTTCTCGTAAATAATTTTCGTTAGATTTAAACATCCAGAAGTTAAATGCCTAACAAATATAAATATAGCTACTTCTAGTATTGTTTTGTTATAATGGCTAATTTAATCATTCTTTCTCACTGAAAAGTTAACGAGTCACTCGTCTCACAATGATAAAATGTCGTCAATTTTATCTCATTATACCGAAAATTAATTTCAAGATGGTATTTGGCTTGAGGCAAGTCTGTTAGCTATTTAGGTTCCTACTTATAATCTCAACAAAGTGTATAATACTGTAATCTAGGGTAGGTAACGTATACATACAAGTAATGTTGTCTCTTACATTATCGAAATCTAGGTCGTGAATGTACGCCGTTCTAGATTCGGTCAGACAAATATATTACGAGCCTAATTATCTAATTTACATTGCAAATATTACGTCACGTATTTAATGGCAATTATTTAAATATTCTTCCAAAATAGCACCTAAATGATCCCCTAAATATACAATTGGAAACCAAAAGGCCTCTGTGGCCGAGTGGTTTATATGCCGGGTTTCATGGCGTCGCCGACTCGAGAGGTCCCGGGTTCGAATCCCGGTGGGGGCAGATGTTTGTGTGATGTACACGAGCATTTGTACTCCAGTCATGGATGTTTAATATGTATTTCTATATAAATATACTTATACTTACTTTATACTTATGTAAAGTATATATATTCTATCCGTTACCCTAGTAACCCATAACACAAGCCTTATGGATAAACTTCGAACGAACGAACCCATGACCCAAGACATAGCCGCCCCAGTATGGATTGACCATAACCTAACCTTGCCTTTTAATATAAATATAAATAAATATAAATATTTCCAACACTTACACCAATTAGCCTAGCCCCAAAGTAAGCACTGTAAGGCTTGTGTTATAGGATGCTAGGGTAACGGATAGAATACATACACAGTACATATATAATAACTATATTAATATAGAAATACATGTGAAACATCCATGACTGGAGTACAAATGCTCGTATTCATCACACAAACATTTGTACCCACCGGGACTCGAACCCGTGACCTCTCGAGTCGGCGACATCATGAAACTGGGCATACAAACCACTCGACTACGGAGGTCGTAATTAATCAAAAGTATGATATAAGCACTGGAAATCAATTTCTAAATTAAGTCACAACCGTCAGCAATAGCCCGCTCGCGCGTTCTGAGTCCGCGTGACAGGCAGGGGTGTTGGTGGGAGAAGTGGTGGGAGGCGCCCGGCGTGACGGCACAGTCGCGGCATGCGCGTGAGTTGCGCGCGGTACTGAACAGTTCTTGAACATTGCAACATTACTTTATTTTTCTAAAATAAAATAATTTTCCTAAAATAAAAGTAGCCTAAGTACTCCTTATTACATCAGCTACCTGCCAATAAAAGTCCCGTCAAAATCGGTCTAGCCATTTCAGAGATTATCCGGCACAAACAGACAGACAGACAAAAATTGTAAAAAATGTTATTTTGGTGTATGTACCGTATATATACACCATTATAATTCTAGTTATAAGGAAGTTGAAAACGTTAGTGGTTTTAAATATCGTTGGATTTTTTACTTTGAAATGCGATAGGAAATATGAAATTGTAGGAAAATGTAGGTCAGTTTTGAATTTCATTAACCATTTCAGTATTTAGTTCTGAATTAATAGTCGAAAAAGGAGGAGGTTTGTTTCCGTATTGAACCTTTGTCAAATTAATACCACGTACTCACTGCCAAATGAATAGGTGCTATTCTGATAATATTGCCAAATCAATTGACTGCATGTTTATATTTTACTTCGTACATTTTATACTGAGCATTAGCAGTCAGGACAGACAAACAGCGTAGACTTAGTAAAGGAAACCTTATTCCAAACGTTACTGATTTAGTAACCCGACCGAAGTTCTCGATCAAAACTTGTAAAAGACAAGACACATACAGAGAACCTGCAAAGGTCTAAACGAAAACATACCTTAAATTTCCACCCTTGGAATTCACTCTTGGGAGGAATCTGCGCCGAATCTGCGTGCCATATTTTGTTTATCCACCTGAACGTTAACAGCTTAATATTAAATTCCAGAATGTCAATGACATCTCGCCTGGGACCGCTGTTCACGAAATGCTGCTGTTGCATTCCTCTGAGGATTGGGTGCTTCATCCTCGGATATTTAAATCTGGTACGTAACCGTCTCGTTGTAAGGTTCAAATTGTATTTGTAACTTGCTTCTGCATATGCCGCGTTTTGATAATTGGACTTTTACGTTTGAGAAGTTTAAGCTTTATTGTGGTTTTAATGTTGCATTATTTCTATGTACATTTCATATGGAAGTATTTTCGAAGTAGAGTAACAGTGTTGTTGTTATACGGCCTTTTAAGTAACTGGGTCAGTAGAGAAATCGAACAATACTGTATCGTCACGAGGATTTGCGGGCTTATGGTGTCATTGTCGTTCTAATTTTCTCCCTGTCGCAAGGGATTAAACCAAATTATTCGGTCCAAATGAATTTATGATAAACGTAAAATGTGTTTGCTTAATATTGCTGAACGACAATTCATTTATCAAATTTTATTATAATAGGACGTTCCCTAAAGATTGTTTAATATGAAAAAAAAACAACTTTATTTAGGTACCACCGAATAATCAAACATTTTAAGTTTCCAGGTAGATGTTGAATCAGATCAACTACTGAAACTATGGAAGGCTTGTTATATAGGTTCATTCGAGATATTTTTATGCTTACAGCAATACTTTCTTTCAATTCAGAGCATTTTAAATACTCGTAACATCGAATGTGATAAATTAACGTCGCAAAAATAGCAATGCTGATTTTAACTGCCTGGTTTTAATCCAAAGAACATGACATTTAATTTGAACTTGTATCTACGGTATCTACCGCTATCCCTGAGGAAGATGCGGGTTGTCGGAAGTCTGATTCCTGGGCTAAGTGAAATTATTCCTAGTAAAATTTTGTTTAGATTGAAACATACAGCAGTTAAATGCTAATGTTAAAAATATAAAAACATGACATTTTGTTTTTAAAACCGATACCGGGACCTTAATGTTTAATTCTGTCACTTTCCACGATCTTTTTCATATTAAAGTTGGTAGTTGTTATTAAGTAAGATGAGAGAGTAAGAAGAGGAGCTCGATGGCGCAAGTGGTTAGCGCGTTCGGCTGCGATCGTTGAACTTAAGCAACTTTCGCAGTGGTCGGTCATTGGATGGGTGACCAAAAATTACTATCTAGAGCTCCTCCGTGCTTCGGAAGGCACGTTAAGCCGTTGGTCCCGGCTGCATCTGCAGTCGTTAGCACCCACCAATCCGCACTGGGCCCGCGTGGTGGGTCATGGCCCAATCTCCCTAATCCATCCATAGGAAAGGCCTGTGCCCCAGCAGTGGGGACATTAATAGGCTGATGATGATGAAGATGAGATCAGTTCTATGAGTTTGATTAATTACCCGTTATACTTGTAAATTAAGACCGTAATATCTATTGCAGGTTTTCAATGCCTTCCACATGCTCGCCCTACTAGCTCTGACCACATACATCGGCTTAACCACCCATGGTTTCGACCACTACGATCCTGAGGACCTCCGCTTCATTAATAGCAATCCTTCTACCGTAGAGTCCTACGAGAGACCGTTCTTGAACCAGATCGGTCTGTTGCTGTTGGTGATATTGAGTGTCAATTTGGTGTGGTTGGTCATCAATATCGCTTGCTTGGTTGGATTACACAAGGTATTTGTTATACATTTAAGGACTGATCTTTATTTTTTTGGATAAAACTAGTATGCCAAATATATTATTACCGGATTTAATGGAAATATCATATTCAATATGAAAAAAAAAGAATAAGAAATATAACAAAAAATGGCGGTGGCACACCGGGAGTGTCCGGGAGAAGTGAAATCTCAAAACTAACAAAACTTAGCAAAATGTAAATGAAAATGAATAAAAAGCTCATCTCTAAAAAATGTCCAATGAGACTAAGGAAGCTTTCACCAAAAAAAAAATAACAAAAAACTAAGCAATATGTCAACAAAAAAATCTATGCCAGTCGGGTCAAAACTTACCTCTTGCATTTAAAGGAGCGTTTGATGCATTACATTAGATCAAGCCATTAATAACCACTTTGGGCAAAATTAAAATATACATAATTTTATACAGAAGTGTCGATCACAGTGACGATCATGCGATCACAGTCACGGTGTCACGAGTTCGTTGGTTTTTCCCCATCTTGATTCCAATGGAGGAAAAAACGCGCGTGTGATACTCTGGTATCATCATCGTAACATCTAGTAATAAGCGTCCGAAGGCAATAGTAGCCGCTAAACATCGGGGTGTAACAATTTGTATTTTGTATTCCCTTTAAAAAAGTACCAGATCAAATGGCCTTATGTTTGAAACTGAACTAGAACCCATAACAAAGGTAATAGCTGTCAAGGTGATAGCTCTCTCAACAACAGCAATATTCCAATTGAGTAATTTTTCACACGGCGTTTGATCAAGATGAAACGTCATGAAAAGTCATGTTGTTTGTTAAGGCTAAAGTACATACCGCGGTTATAAGCTGCCTATATTTACCGAAATACTACACTAAATACACTTTCCAGATAAGTAGGATGCTACGGAGTGGTCCTAAGACCGATCCCAAATACACCCACGTAACTATCCAATAAAGATTTCGCCAGTTAAACCTAAGTGTAACCATAATTTGTAGACTGTTCCAGTTAAATAACTGGAACATCTCTTTGCTCTAGAAAAGGAAAACGTAATTTTAAAACTCAAGGAAAAGATGACTACTACATAAAACATCGAGGTGGAAAGCCTGTCAGAGATTCTGCCACCAAGTTAAAAGTTTAAGTTCGGGCGGAATTACAGTTTAGCATTTTTAAGTTTCACTGGAGCGCAACGGAGCAACGAGGGCTCAGTAAATAAGTAATTTTAAGTTCTATTTTCTTATCTATGCTAAAATCCAAACCGCACTACACCATTTGCAGGCGACACGTGCAAGCTTAAGCTCGTAAAAATAACTAAGCTCGTTTGTGGGTCAGCACGTTGTACAATAAACAAAATGACCAGGGCGGCACTAAGGATCCCTTTCTTGTTATAACATTTATATTGTTCCTTGTGTAGAAAATTAATAGTGCCAAAGCTATATTAATGTTCTAAGATGTGTAACCTCTCATATGACGCTGGTTTTTCCTCATTAACTAGAAGATGCAGACAACTTAGATCACGCTGTTTGAAACATTATTTTACTAGAGATTATAAATTACTAGAGATTTTGTTAAAAAAATTACACATTTACTATGTATTTGACGTGACATAAACTAAAGTCAAATTTAACTATGAACTAAACAACGTGGCCTTAGTCTGCGAAATAAAAACCGCTTTCCCATACAAAACTTCGTCTCCTATTTCGCCATTCACCACCTCCATGTTAACTACATATTAATTAATCGAAAACTGTCCGAAGACCAAAGGCAGGTAGTATAACTGTTAGAGTGGATTACTCTTTTATAAGACTAATTTCTACTTTATTTATGCTTCAATGAGAGAAATGGTGGGAGCTACCGAAAAAATAAATAACTAGCATTTGAAATTACGTATTTGTTCAGTTCTTGCTTAATATTGAGAGGGTAAGTTAAAATTTATTCTCTACTTTTGGTCGGGTATCGTGGTTTGGTGATTGCTCAACATCAGGCGTTTCTGTGATCAAAATACTGCTGCTCTAAAGTACCTTGACGCCGTGCGTTATTCTCCGGAGTTGGTGATATTCATTTGCTAAGGTAGATGGTTAAGGTACTAACCTAGTGGATTTTACTTATCCTTTTGATTTGGCAAGAGCTGTATTTGTATATCACTCTACTTTCACCATACAAACATCTCACTAAGTCCATAAAAATATTCAACAATTTAACTACCAGCGTCTTTAAATATTGTGTAAAAACCGCACAGTATTCAAGATCTGTGAACAGAAATCTAGCTTTAGGAATTACTGCAATATCAGCCCTATATTTGGTCTTAAACTAAAAGTGTACGTTGTTTGTTCCTTGTTGTGATGTAGTTCCCTTAGTCCTGACCTGAGTTTGTGTCTCCCGTACTGTAATGTGGCCCTGGAAACAAGCCAGCTAAGTAAACCGGAATGAGAGGACATTCATTATACTCGGATGTCATAGGACATGAGTGGCCACTCTTATTTTTCTACTCCACAATAAGTGCCATAGAATCTATAATATTTAATAAAAGAAAAAAAAACTATCAATGATGAATTATGACGTAAACGAAATATTTTATTTCTTTTGCCACCCTTTTGAAATAAAAAGCGATTATCAAGAAAAAGTCACGACAATTAAACTTTGCTACCGTTTGCCTTACCATGTATGTTTATTCCGAACGTAGTTAGAAGAACCACAATTGGATCGTTGGACAGAAACGTGTCTTATCTCCAAGCGAGCTTCGTAGAACCGACAGTTATATTAAGTATTTAACTGCCAGATCAGATCTCTGGTAAACCGCTCGAAAGTTAGAAAATATTATTTCTTTGTATAATTATGTCTATACAAACAAAGCTTAGTTTAGAGAAAGGTAATTTTAAGATTGCCCTAAGCGCTAATAGAGTATAATGTGCCTTAGTTCTCCCGTCTTATCTTACACAGATATTAAATAGTAATCTTACATTTACTTTTGATATTAATAGTAAGTGTGAGTTGCACCACAGAGCTAGTTATCATCATCAGTCTATTAATGTCCCCACTACTGGGGCACAGGCCTTAGGTAGATTGCGCCATGACCCACCACGTGGGCCCAGTGCGGATTGGTGGGTGCTGACGACTGCAGATGCAGCCGGGTCCAATGGCTTAACGTAGCTTCCAAAGTGCAAAGGAGCCTGAGATAGTAAAATTACGTCATCGAGCTCCTCATTACACATTTTATAACTAAGGTGTAGAATTTGTGAAGTTAGGCTTTGTAGAGTTAAGGCGTGTACAATTAGAAGCTTAAACTTAACATGAAATCTGATAACTTTTTGACAGTGTGAGTTATATCGTCTCGTCTTGCCAACATTTTACATGAAAATGTTTATGGTGGGATTATCTTTTTCAGAGGCGTCCTGGTCCCGTCAGGCTGTACGTGGCGTTTGCGACGGCGCGTCTCCTTCTGACACTCGCAGGGTTCGTCTACCTTGTCATGACAGCCAGCTCCAATATCCAAGCGGTAGTGTCAAACAGTATCGATATGGGTTCGTATACTCACTTGATTTTTAGATATTTACGTTATTAACGGGACTGTGAAAGATTGTACCTCAGTCACGCAAAAACAGTTGACAGAGTTGGACTGTTTCATTTAATTTTTATCACGTTTCTGTTAATTACGTTTTTGTTTTCCCGTCCTTACAAACTAGACGCCACGTATAGTTAGCAATGCACAGAATGCGCTTTATTTTTAAAAATAGCTCGTTAAGGACCTGCAGTTCTGTTACTAATACCTGTGCCTGAATCAAGTAAATAATAATGAATGTCACCAATTTTCGATATCTAGTAAATTAAAAATCTCGTAAAGTATTTTGGCAGCCATAACTATATTCGTGTATTTTTACACAAATAATTAGATGTAAGATTTCGCCAAAAAATTGGGCTCCCCAGACAGGCACCATTTTTATTCTTCTGATTGCTTTGCCCTTGTATCACCGGGAATATCTGCTACAAATGCTATAAAAAAAGTATGTATAATATAGTCTGAATGATTAAGGTGCGCGCACACTACACAGGCAATACTTTTCCGCGTAGGTATTGCCTAAAACTTAATAAAATAAAAAATAACGACTATTTTACTTTCATATATTTAATTTAAACTCGAAGAATTCTATAGATCTTCACGCTTATACAAACACAAACCTAAACTCGCTGATGAAGTTGAAATCAATTAGCGTCATCTATTATCTGTATTAATAGTTACATTTTGTTTGAAATCAATAACCGTTCTTTAGCATAGCTTTAAATTGTTATTATACACTCTATAAACGTATTTTCATTTCAATTGATATTATAAAGCCGTTTTTCATTAATACGATTTCCAAAATACAGGTAAAGCGTCAGACGAAAGTTCAAAACGTTTTAATTTTTTTTTTATCTTTTTTAAAGGACTACTTACTCATCCTAAGCCCCTCAAACTATTATTTACAAATATATGCAATGTAAAGAGTTCCTTGCACCTTGCGATTTTATCACGTTTGCGTCATAGTTATTTTTTTGAAAATCCCACAGAAAAATCGCCGAATGAAGAGAGTAAAAAAACTTATAATATAAAAAAAAAACGTACGATTTTTTTCAACTTTTAAAGCAGAAGAAATTTTTCATATACTTATGATGTTTGTGTATTTTTAACCGTTTATGCAGTGCACGCAACAAAAGCTCTGAAAAGGAATATTTTTTCCCGTTTTCGCAACATATTTCATTGATGCTCCGCTCCTATTAGCCTCATCGTGATGTTATATAACCTTCCTCAATAAATAGGCTATCTATCACAAAAATAATGTTTCAATTTGAATCAGCAGTTCTTGAGATTAGCGTGTCCAACCAAACAAAGAAACAAATTCTTCAGCTTTATAATATTAGTATAGATATTATACAATGCATTCTCTTCATATGTAAACTTGCCTTTTTTACATTTTTAAGCGACTTTTTGGGCCATGAATATTTTTTTTCGATGTTATCTCTTTGACGGGTGGTTGCTCCAATTTGAATTCATCTAGCAAAACATCAGCTTGAGCTCCTTGAAGGTTATTGCACAGTATTCTCATACGGCATTCATTCGGTAACGTATTATCGTGAACGTTATTCATAATTAACTGTCTTGTCCGATTTTCATATTAAATGATCGTGTATTTGTAACTAGTAGTAACTATAGATGTAGGTGTCTGTTTGCAAATCTTCGCATTCATAGAATAATGCTAGGTTCAGTAAACTATTGTAGTTAGTAACCTCGAATGAATACATAATGATAATAACGTTTATGTTCATTCCATGGTCGAGGAAAATAAGTAGAAGCTAATTTGACTAATTTTCAACTTTGCCAATCACCTAACCAGATTGATTTGGCTATCGCTATCGCTTTCGATTTCATTTTCTTATTTATGACCGCTGAAGGTTTTGAAATACCTCGCGCTCGTTTTTTTTCTTTACATTAGTAATAACAATATTAAAGAAAATGAGAGCAAGGTATTTGTAAACCTTCGGGGGTCAGAAGTAACAAAAAGAAAACGTAAGCGATAGAGATAGCCATAGCAATCCCGTTAGCACATTGACACCCTGGTCTGTGTAGCTCTCCATTTTGTTTTTCACGGCTTACACAGACGAGGGGATAATATTCTGTTAATGTTTAATCATAGTGCCTCTGAAATTACTACTTTATTTCTTAGCTTGGCAAGTATACTATGCCTGTGTCAGCATGAGTTTCCACATTCCTTCTGAAAGCTCGTGGGAGTAGTAAATTGTTGGTCTCCCATCCAATGACCGACCACTACGAAAGTTGCTTAAATACAACGATCGCAACCGAACACGCTAACCACTTGCACCATCGAGCTCCTGCCCACCATAGCATCATTGATTTGAAACAGGATATTTTCCTTTACATATACATATATGTATATGTATATTTTATGTTGTATACATGTTTATATTAATATGTTTTCCTTACAGTTTTAACGGTGTATTTCGTCGTGGTGTACTACATGTGCGCACTACAAATGGAGCGTGAACGAGACGAAGGCCGGGAGATTAAGAAGCTTCCCGTTGGAGACATTTCGTTCATATATTCCGCTAATATCGACAAACAAAGCCTGGTGGCTTGATTGTATCAACTGTTCTTTATTAAGAAGCTTAAGTTGCGAGACAATGTGCCTAGTTCTGGCAAGATTCTCTTATATTAAAACTAAATTTGACAACAGTCTTCCCTATTCATTCTTTAATATAATATGTTGATTTATTTTCTATGTTGAGTTTTGTCTAGAAGGTAGGGAATCATGTGAGGTCGGACCCAATAACAGTATATATTTTCATATCTCAAGAAAAAAATATAGAAAAAAACGTGCATCTTGTGTTATGTAAAATAAAAACATAAAAAATGTAGCAATCAAGTCATCATCATCATCAGCCTATTAATGTCACCACTGCTGGGGCACAGGCCTTCCCTATGGATGGATTAGGGAGATTGGGCCATGACCCACCACGCGGGCCCAGTGCAAGTTGGTGGGTGCTAACGACTGCAGATGCAGCCGGGACCAACGGCTTAACGTGCCTTCCCAAGCACGGAGGAACTCGAGATCAAGTGCTTTTGCATAATTTTATTATATATATGTAACCTCAATATACATTATTTGTATTTATCACAGATACTCCTGAAATTCAATCAGTAGAAATCAAAAGGAACCGGGTGATTGACGGCCTTCAGTCGCTGCAGAAACCACTTTCTCCACTGTTTGGAAATGCAGCATAAATGGATGATCTTTTAGATGAGCATTAGTTTTTTTAGGAGATCGATCATACTAGATGCCTCAGTTTTGAGGGCCCTTCTCATGCTCAAGAGGGCTTGCGGCACTGCGTTTTCGTATAGTCCTAACCTAACCTAACCACCGTTGCCAGTTTTTTTTTTCGCCAAGTCGGGGTTTAGGAACTTTATGAGTGAAAAAAGCGAGATTCTTTCGACGAAAGTCGGCGTAGTAAAAAAAAATGTTTATGATCAAAAGTTTTTAAATATTTATCTTTTTATTTGAGTTCAAATTACGTTTACGTGACAATAGAGTAAAAATATCCATAGAAAATGTATTTTAATAAAAATATGATATTTTAAATCAGTTTTTTTTTCTAGATAGGTCCGACAAATGAATCAGGATGTCTGGCAACTCTGGTCCTAACAATCATCTGTTCCGAAGAACAAACGAAAGCTGGGAATCTTATCATACTAGAATCTTTTATACTACTTATTTAATTTATTTTTTTAACAGCGCCGCCATTTTTTTTGCATTGCAGCATCATCATTTCATGTCTTCCCATTAATGACGGGACAGACTGATTATGATGTAATTCTCATTATCACATACCTACATCTTCTTTTTTACAGAAGTTATGTATATTAAAAACCTGAGAACCTCTGACGCTATAGTACAGTCTAATGCAAATCGAAATCACGAAGTTTCGCCAGACGTAAATGAATGAGTGTTGAAAAATACGCCACACCGTAGATCCCGTCTCTGCTCTCTCTAGAAGACCAAGAGATGAACCATTAACAGATAAAAAAATAAGAAATATTTAACAAATAGTTCAACCACGCAAATGACCTAACTGGGTGTCGATTCTGCTATTATAATAATAATAGTGTGTCAATGGTGCTTCAGAAATTTTAATATTTAATATTAACAATAACTTTATAAGTTATCTACAAGCATTTGTTATTTGGGGGTGTAAGGGGTTCTAATTACACCTGCAGGAACCCAAGCCAACCTCACCTTCACGTGGTGCACCCTGTCAACCAACAGACGAGGCTCTGGCAAACCGACCGATGGCGGTATAACCATCCAATACCGTAGGGGAGGGAAATCTCACTGGTGACGGGCAGCAGCGTCATTAGTTAATTAATCTTCGTTCTGCGATCGCCAACCCGCCTGCCCAGCGTGACGATTACGGGCAATACCTCTAATGAACACAGACCACATGCCACGGCCCCCAGTTCCCGGCAGCCCCGCTATTCCTGGTCACGGTGGCGACCACGGTAACGGCGGGGCGGGGGGTGCTAAGAATCTCCGGGCTACGGGAGGCCACCACAATAGACTGACCCTGGCGACATACAACGGACGCACGCTACGGCTTGACTCGCATCTGGCGCAACTCGAGGTGGAACTTGGGAAGATTAGGTGGCACATATTAGGGTTAAGTGAAGTCCGAAGAGAGGGGGAGGACACCATAACCCTCGAATCGGGCCACCTAATGTACTTCCGCGGGGGAGACCAACAGTCTCAAGGTGGCGTTGGGTTTTTGGTAAATAAGTCCCTTGCTGATAACGTTGTAGAAATGTCCAGCGTGTCGAACAGGGTAGTGTACCTTATTATAAAGCTCACCGAGAGGTATAGCCTCAAGGTGGTGCAAGTGTACGCACCGACCTCGACACACTCGGACGACAAAGTGGAGGATATGTACGATGATATATCGAGGGCCCTCCACTCCACAACTAAGACCCACTACAACGTTGTTATGGGTGACTTCAACGCTAAAGTGGGAGTACAGAATTGCAGCGAATCGGTAGTAGGATCCCATGGATTTGGAAGCAGAAATCATAGGGGGCAAATGCTCGTCAACTTCCTCGAACGGGAAGGGCTCTTCTTGATGAAATCGTTCTTCAAGAAACAGTCCCAAAGGAAGTGGACGTGGCAAAGCCCCGACACTATGACTAAAAATGAGATCGATTTCATCATGACAGACAAGAGGTATATATTCAGAGACGTCTCCGTGACCAATAGGTTCAATACCGGTAGTGATCACCGACTCGTCCGGGGCTCTCTGAATATCAACTTTAAGGCCGAGCGCGTCCGTTTGATGAAATCCAGGCTCCTACCTACTCTGCTCCAATCTATAACAGGATCTGAAACGTTCCAGTCAAATCTGGAGAACCGATTTGCTGCCGTGGAAACCACATCAGACGTAAACCAAAACCTCGAAAATGTGGTTCGGATCCTCAGGGAAGAGGGTACGAGATTATGTGCAACACAGCGTAAGGGCAGGAAGTCAAAGCTTTCGGAAGAGACTTTAGGGTTAATGAAGGAACGACGTGAAAATCCAACCGTCACTTCGTCGGCAAAGCGGACTCTAAACCAAGAGATCGGTAAGCACGTACGACACGACCTCCGGTGCTACAATACTCTCTCAATCGAGAGAGCGATCGAGCAGAATCGAGGTTCCAAAGTGTTCGTACAATCTCTCGGAAGAAGCCATCTGACGAAGCTGACCACAGCAAGTGGGGAAGTTGTTGCTTCAAAGCCGACAATCCTTTCGGAAGTGGAAAACTTCTACGGCCAGTTATACGCATCACATGCATCCCGACCTGGTCCCGGAAATGAGGATTCTAGAGCCACATTAACACGCCACTTCACCGAAGACCTGCCAGAAGTCAGTATTGGCGAAATCGAGATTGCTCTTGAGCAGCTTAGAAATGGAAAAGCCCCTGGAGAGGATGGTGTTACAACAGAACTCTTGAAAGCTGGAGGTAAACCCGTACTGAGAGAGCTCCAAAAGCTTTTTAACACTGTCCTTTTCGAAGGGAGATCTCCGGAGGTGTGGAGTAGGAGTGTGGTCGTCTTGTTCTTTAAAAAGGGGAACAAGACTCTACTTAAGAACTATCGACCCATATTCCTTCTAAGCCACGTCTATAAGCTGTTCTCAAGAGTAATCGCGAACCGTCTTGCGCGAAGACTTGATGACTTCCAACCATCGGAACAGGCTGGGTTTCGGAGCGGATACGGCACCATAGACCACATCCACACAGTACGGCAGATTATACAGAAGACTGAGGAGTACAATCAGCCCCTGTGCCTAGCATTTGTGGACTATGAGAAGGCCTTTGACTCGATTGAAATCTGGTCAGTCCTGGAGTCCCTGCAGCGTTGCCAAGTTGACTGGCGATACATCCAAATGGTAAGATGTCTCTACGAAGCTGCCACCATGTCTGTACAAGTACAGAATCAGCAAACAAGTCCCTTACCGTTGCATCGTGGAGTGAGGCAAGGGGACGCTATTTCCCCGAAATTGTTCACTAATGCAATGGAGGATATGTTCAAGATACTAAACTGGAAAGGACATCGCATCAACATCAATGGCGAACGCATCTCTCACTTGCGATTTGCAGACGATATCGTCATCATGGCAGAAACCCTGCAGGACCTACAAAAAATGCTGAATGACCTGGCTGAGTCTTCTATACGCATCGGCCTACGGATGAACTTGGATAAAACCAAGGTCATGTTCAATGAACATGTACTACCGGAACCGATTGCAATACACGGTGCCACTCTCGAAGTTGTTCAAAAATATGTATACCTCGGGCAGACATTGCAGTTAGGTAGAAACAACTTTGAGGACGAGGTGAATAGAAGAATTCAGCTAGGTTGGGCAGCATTTGGGAAGCTACATCAAGTCCTGACATCGTCGATCCCACAGTGCCTAAAGACGAAAGTCTTCAATCAGTGCGTCCTACCTGTAATGACATACGGAGCCGAAACGTGGACACTGACGGCACGGCTGGTCCACAGGTTCAAAGTCGCTCAGCGCGCTATGGAAAGGGCTATGCTCGGCGTTTCTCTGAAGGATCACATCAGAAATGAGGTAATCCGACAGAGAACCAGATTCATCGACATAGCCCACCGGATTAGCAAGTTGAAGTGGCAGTGGGCTGGCCATATTTGCCGAAGAACCGATAACCGTTGTGGTAGACGAGTTCTGGAGTGGAGACCGCGTCTAGGCAAACGTAGTGTAGGACGTCCTCAGGCACGATGGAGTGACGATTTGCGCAAGGTGGCTGGCAGGAGCTGGATGCGAGTAGCCCAAGATCGATCTGAATGGCGTGCAATTGGAGAGGCCTATGTCCAGCAGTGGACTAGGATAGGCTGTTGATGATGATGATGATGATTTGTTATTTTATGTTTTAGTAATAGGAACTGTGTCATAAAGTGCCACTATTAAACTACGATTGAGAAATGATTTTTATAGTTATATTTTTAAACATTTAACTGCTAGATGTTTAAATCTTAAGATAATTTCACTACAATAAATTCCACGTGGACCAGGCAGCAGACGGGACTCAAGCCCGCTCCCTCCGCTATCCGGGCGGATGCACTGACTATTATGCTACCGCGGCCCTAATTCTCTGTGTCTACGATTGAGACACGATTTTTGTGTTAGCTTAGCAGAATC